ATGTACTTCAACTTTAAGAGAAATACCGAGTACATTTAGAAGTACAAATTATTATTTCAAAGTTTTGGATTAAATGACATAAAACGCAAAACTTTAAGATATAAGTCGAAGAAAACTTTTTTAAAACTGTCGTCGACTTCGCGCTCCATTATGCAAATGTCGCCCACGTTTCTTTTAGGATTTATATTTCACCAGTAAAAAAAAGTTCTTTTGTCAAAGAAAAATTGTTATTCAAACGTTTCATAAATCTTCTCCTCTTCGAAAAACATAAACGTAAAGGTTGAGCTCTTGTAGCCTGTTATTAAACTCCAGAGAAGGTATTTCAATAATAACCGGAGCGCGATTTCGTCGGAATTGCGTTTTAAGTTGCGTTTAAAAGTCAATTGAAGTTGTAAAGTTTTCCTTTATAAAATAGCCGTAAATATAAAGAAGGACTTGGGTTAAACGTGAACGTAACGTGACATCGTTCTCTTTATTTTCTGCGGTTTACGATACAATATACGACCTAGAGTCACTTAAAGCTGTATTTTCTAAACTGGTTGACATAGAAAAATTTCTTTTATTATAATGTGTTTTAAACATTTTTATTAGATTAAATAGTCTAGTTCTAGGTCTAGTGTTAGTTCTAGTTTTAATTGTTATTCAGCGCTAGATTGTTGTATTGTTGTATAAACCTGAATATATCTAGTTTTAAGTCTAGTGTTAGTTCTAGTGATAGTGCTAGTGTTAGTTTTAGTTGTTATATAACGCTGGGTTGTTATATGTTTTTATCGAACTAAAACTAGAAATAATAAGAAATTTAGAAAATCAATGATCTCTCTCCATCAGATGACACTCCATCTCTCTCAACTCACTTTTAGAGCACGATAATGATTCTTTTTGTCCATCGAGAGTATTCATCCCATCTTGACTACCCCATTAGATGCCTAAAATACTACATGCTTACTTTTAAAGTGAGGTTGCTTCAAATTATACACAACCAGGTTGAAATTGTAAACACAAAATCAAAGACGTTTTTAATAAGTTATCGTTGTAGTATTACAAAATTTGTCATTGATGCATCTGAGAGCAAAAGTGTTAGGAAATAATGTGTAAAGGGTAAAATTTGCTACAACTTTTGTTGTAAAAGTTTTTATGTATCATGCTCGGATTACCAATTTTTTCCATTAGCAGCTTGTAAAACTGCGAATTCTTCTAATTTTCATATTTGCAAATATTTCTCCATATTGATGCATCTGAGAGCAAAAGTGTTAAGAAGTAATGTGTAAAGGGTAAAATTTGCTACAACTTTTGTTGTAAAAGTTTTTCTGTATCATGCTCGGATTACCGATTTCTTCCATTAACAGCTTGTAGAACTACGAATTCTTCTAATTTTCATATTTTCGAATATTTCTCCACATTGATGCATCTGAGAGCAAAAGTGTTAGGAAACAATGTGTAAAGGGTAAAATTTGCTACAACTTTTGTTGTAAAATTTTTTCTGTATCATGCTCGGATTACCGATTTTTTCCATTAACAGCTTGTAGAACTACGAATTCTTCTAATTTTCATATTTTCGAATATTTCTCCACATTGATGCATCTGAGAGCAAAAGTGTTAGGAAACAATGTGTAAAGGGTAAAATTTGCTACAACTTTTCCTGTAAAAGTTTTTCTGTATCATGCTCGGATTACCGATTTCTTCCATTAGCTGCTTGTAAAACTACGAGTTCATCTAATTTTCATATTTTCGAGTATTTCTCTACATAGATGCATCTGAGAGCAAAAGTGTTAGGAAACAATATGTAAAGGGTAAAATTTGCTACAACTTTTGTTGTAAAAGTTTTTCTGTATCATGCTCGGATCACCGATTTCTTCCATTAGCTGCTTGTAAAATTACGAATTCATCTAATTTTCATATTTTCGAATATTTCTCCACATTGATGCATCTGAGAGCAAAAGTGTTAGGAAACAATGTGTAAAGGGTAAAATTTGCTACAACTTTTGTTCTAAAAGTTTTTTTGTATCATGCACGGATTACCGATGTCTTCCATTAGGAGCTTGTGGAGCTACGAATTCCTCTAATTTTCATATTTTCAAATATTTCTCCATATTGATGGATTTAACAGCAAAAGTATTAGGAAACAATGTGTAAAGGGTAAAATTTGCTACAACTTTTGTTGTAAAAATTTTTCTGTATCATGCTCGGATTACCGATTTCTTCCATTAGCAACTTGTAAATCTACGAATTCTTCTAATTTTCATATTTTCGAATATTTCTCCACATTGATGCATCTGAGAGCAAAAGTGTTAGGAAACAATGTGTAAAGGGTAAAATTTGCTACAACTTTTGTTGTAAAAGTTTTTTTGTATCATGCTCGGATTACCGATTTCTTCCATTAGCAACTTGTAAATCTACGAATTCTTCTAATTTTCATATTTTCGAATATTTCTCCACATTGATGCATCTGAGAGCAAAAGTGTTAGGAAACAATGTGTAAAGGGTAAAATTTGCTACAACTTTTGTTGTAAAAGTTTTTCTGTATCATGCTCGGATTACCGATTTCTTCCATTAGCAGCTTGTAGAACTAGGAATTCTTCTAATTTTCATATTTTCGAATATTTCTCCACATTGATGCATCTGAGAGCAAAAGTGTTAGGAAACAATGTGTAAAGGGTAAAATTTGCTACAACTTTTGTTGTAAAAGTTTTTCTGTATCATGCTCGGATCACCGATTTCTTCCATTAGCTGCTTGTAAAATTACGAATTCAGCTAATTTTCATATTTTCGAATATTTCTCCACATTGATGCATCTGAGAGCAAAAGTGTTAGAAAACAATGTGTAAAGGGTAAAATTTGCTACAACTTTTGTTGTAAAAGTTTTTCTGTATCATGCTCGGATCACCGATTTCTTCCATTAGCTGTTTGTAAAATTACGAATTCATCTAATTTTCATATTTTCGAATATTTCTCCACATTGATGCATCTGACAGCAAAAGTGTTAGGAAACAATATGTAAATGGCAAAATTTGCTACAACTTTTGTTGTAAAAATTTTTCTGTATCATGCTCGGATCACCGATTTCTTCCATTAGCTGCTTGTAAAATTACGAATTCATCTAATTTTCATATTTTCGACTATTTCTCCACATTGATGCATCTGAAAGCAAAAGTGTTAGGATATAATGTGTAAAGGGTAAAATTTGCTACAACTTTTGTTGTAAAAGTTTTTCTGTATCACGCTCGGATTACCGATATCTTCCATTAGCAGCTTGTAGAACTACGAATTCTTCTAATTTTCATATTTTCGAATATTTTTCCACATTGATGGATCTGAGAGCAAAAGTGTTAAGAAGTAATGTGTAAAGGGTAAAATTTGCTACAACTTTTGTTCTAAAAGTTTTTCTGTATCATGCTCGCATTACTGATTTCTTCCACATTGATGGATTTGAGAGCAGTGTTAGTAAACAAGTAAAGTGTAAAGTGTATGGAATACCGATTTCTTCCTTCTCGTTCTTCTTCTAGTTACTTCTCCTAGTTCTTCTAGAAGTAGCACAAAACCTAGAACTAGAACCATTCGGGTTTAGCCGTCTTGACAGACGTGCGGCTAAATCTGAATGTTTCTAGTTCTAGTGTTAGTTCTAGTTTTGCACTAGAACTAAGACAAGATCTAGAACTAGAATCATTCGGGTTTAGTCGTATTACGAGACGCACGGCTAAACCCGAATGTTTCTAGTTCTAGGTCTAGTGTTAATTCTAGTTATAAGCATTAACTTAATTCCAGCACTAAGCTGTTGTATACTTTGAACTTCTAACTTGTTTCTGAACACTACCACTGTAACCTTCTTCTCTAGTTCATTTTAATTTTAGTTAATACATTGGCCCACTTTTACCACCTCCTGATAAATTTATCCGATAGATAAATCCAGTTCTTAGCCAATGAGAGCGCTTAAAATCGTCGTAACCATGGCAACTATCCTCTAGATAGTTTATCAGGAGGATGGTAAAAGTGGGCCTAATTATAATAAAACGAGAAATAATTATGTAAATAATAAGTTTAAAAATAAGTGTAAAATTTTTATTTCTTACGATAAAAATAAGAAGGATTGTACCAAAACGTTACCCTTAATTGTTATTGGCCGGACTCCAATTTGAAGTTGGAAGAGCTGATATTTCTGTAAGATATTTTCAATAATCCCCTGGAATGATCTCGTTTTCGTTCCATTACTTTCTGAATATTTTCCCGGTTACTGTTCCAAGAAAAGGGGCGCATAAAAGGACAATTTGCATGTCATTTGCACATCTACAAAAGGCTAATCGTCCGGTTGGGAAACATTTTAAAATTTACCATCGAAGAAGAAAAAAGTTACGAATTAAAGCAATTCCAGAAACAAACATTTAAGTTCCAATCTATTTCGGTTTCTCAATCGTTAAAATATCTCGTATTCGGAACATAAATCGGAACGTTGATTCACTTGAGTTGAAGTTTTACTTTGCAACCAATTAAGAATCTTATTGATAACTTGGAATATTGCCAGATATTGACGTTTCAAAGTTTATTCGTTTTGAAACTTTTTATTTCTCTTAATTTTTTATTACTATCATTTTGATGGAATAATAGAAGCGTTTCACAACTAAGATGTGACTGAAAATGTTCCCAACGTTTTAGGTGGTTATATACCCAAATGATTTTCATGCTTTACTGGTTAACACTAAGACATTTCATAGTTTAGACAGCTTGAATTATGTAAATTTGTTCACTGAAATCTGAGGAGAATAAATAAAACAAATTTCTTTAATTCTTCTAAATTCTTAATTTCGATTAAATAATTTTATCAATAAGATTTCATTTTAAAAATTTATTTTTAAACAGCTTTAATTAAAATATTAGAACTTAATGAATCACGAAATATGTTAATTTGAATATGTTAATATCTGTGAATATTTTAAATCTTAATTAAGTTGTTTTGCGGAAACACCCCGGATATATAAAGGGTTTAATCTGAGTACGAAATCATTCTAACACAACAAATTCATCTAAAATCAACCATTAACCTCAACGGTAAGTAAAAATTTTAATAAAACATCAATTTAAAGCTTGAAAAGCGTTTTAGATGGCTTCTAAAGTATGGTTTTTCACTTTGGTCGTACTAACATTCGTCGTTTTGTCGAGTGGTCGTGGTGGAAAACGAATCAAAGTGTGTGGAGACCAGCTAGGTAGAGCTTTGCAACTTGTTTGCGATTCGAAGTACTACGGAAAACGAGCACTCGAAAGTAAATACGAAACGCTTTTAATTGGACTCTTATTGACCTAAGCATTTATTTTTATTGTAGACGAATTAAAAGATTTCCTGATTATCTACGACGACTCAAACGGCGATGAACGGGATAATTTTCCTTTTTATAACCCGAATGGAAAATATAAAACGTTATTCAACAGAGAGTTATCTACAAGAGGTGTTGTTGAGGAATGTTGTCATAATGCTTGTACTTTTGATATGCTGAGTTTGTATTGCGAACGATAAACGATAAGGATTTTTTTAATATTTAGTATATTTTGTCAATTATATCTGAAAAATTAATAAATTGCAATGAAATGAAAGTTATACTTAATTACTTTTAATACGCGTTAAAGCATGATTTTTTGATAATCTTTTAGAATTTATTTCTCAAAAACAAATAGAGATAGCAACAAACAGGTTAATACATTAAACTCACCATGTAATTCTAAATAAATGTGTATAATTTGGTGTCTTTACTTTTATTAATCTCTAAGATACAAATTCTTAAATTTATACCAATATGTCAATTCAAATCGGGTTTTTTAATAATCTTTTGGGATTTATTTCTCAAGAACAAATTGAGATAGCAACAAATGGGTTGATGCATTAAATTCACCATGTAATTCTAAATAAATATGTATAATTTGGTATCTTCACTTTTATTAATCTCTAAGATACAAAGTTTTAAACTTATACGTCAACTCAAATCAAGTTTTTAATAATCTTTTGGAATTTATTTCTCAAGAACTAATGAAGACTTCAACAAACGGGTTGATGCATTAAATTCAGTATTTAATTCTGAATAAATCCACCAAATTTTGCATCTTCATCTTTATTAATCACGAAGATACGCAATTTTTAGGTTAATCTTGTAATAATATGTTAACACAAATCAATTTTTTCGATCATCTTTTGGGATTTATTTCTCAAGAACAAATGGAGATAGCAACAAACGGATTGATGCATTAAATTCACCATGTAATTCTAAATAAATTTGTATAATTTGGTATCTTCACTTTTATTAATCTCTAAGATACCAAGTTTTAAATTTATACTTATACATCAACTCAAATCAAGTTTTTTAATAATCTTTGGGATTTTATTTCTCAAGAACTAATAAAAACTTTAACAAACGGGTTGATGCATTAAATTCACTATTTAATTCTGAATAAATCTACCAAATTTTGCATCTTCACTTTTATTAATCACGGAGATACGCATTTTTTAGGTTAATCTTGTAATAATACGTTAACACAAATCAATTTTTTCAATCATCTTTTGGAATATATTTCTCAAGAACAAATTGAGATAGCAACAAACGGGTTGATGCATTAAATTCACCATGTAATTCTAAATAAATATGTATAATTTGGTATCTTCACTTTTATTAATCTCTAAGATACAAAGTTTTAAATTTATACTTATACGTCAACTCAAATCAAGTTTTTTAATAATCTTTGGGAATTTATTTCTCAAGAACTAATAGAGACTTTAACAAACAAGTTGATGCATTAAATTCACTATTTAATTCTGAATAAATCCACCAAATTTTGCATCTTTACTTTTATTAATCACGGAGATACGCATTTTTTAAGTTAATCTTGTAATAATACGTTAACACAAATCAATTTTTTCGATCATCTTTTGGAATTTATTTCTCAAAAACGAATTGAGACAGCAGCAAACGGGTTGATGCATTAAATTCACCATGTAATTCTAAATAAATATGTGTAATTTGGTATCTTCACTTTTATTAATCTCTAAGATACAAAGGTTTAAATTTATACTTATACGTCAACTCAAATCAAGTTTTTTAATAATTTTTGGGATTTTATTTCTCAAGAACTAATAGAGACTTTAACAAACGGGTTGAAGCATTAAATTCACTATTTAATTCTGAATAAACCTACCAAATTTTGCAACTTCACTTTTATTAATCACGGAGATACGCATTTTTTAGGTTAATCTTGTAATAATTCGTTAACACAAATCAATTTTTTCGATCATCTTTTGGAATTTATTTCTCAAGAACAAATTGAGATAGCAACAAACGGATTGATGCATTAAATTCACCATGTAATTCTAAATAAATTTGTATAATTTGGTATCTTCACTTTTATTAATCTCTAAGATACAAAGTTTTAAATTTATACTTATACGATCAACTCAAATCAAGTTTTTTAATAATCTTTGGGATTTTATTTCTCAAGAACTAATAAAAACTTTAACAAACGGGTTGATGCATTAAATTCACTATTTAATTCTGAATAAATCTACCAAATCTCGCATCTTTCCTTTTATTAATCACGGAGATACACATTTTTTAGGTTAATCTTGTAATAATACGTTAACACAAATCAATTTTTTCAATCATCTTTTGGAACATATTTCTCAAGAACAAATTGAGATAGCGACAAACGGGTTAATGCATTAAATTCACCATGTAATTCTAAATAAATATGTATAATTTAGTATCTTCACTTTTATTAATCTCTAAGATACCAAGGTTTAAATTTATACTTATACGTCAACTCAAATCAAGTTTTTTAATAATTTTTGGGAATTTATTTCTCAAGAACCAATAGAGACTTTAACAAACGAGTTTATGCATTAAATTCACTATTTAATTCTGAATAAATC